AAGCTTCATAACATATTACTCACAGTTAAATTAAGAGGGGACGGCAGTAAAAACTCCGGACCTGTGACATCATCAAGTACGCTGGTGTTCCAATTGTACAAATCGCGAGTCTGTGCTCGCGTTCTCGGCGAGTCCGTACTCCCGTGTGTTCTCGGCGAGTACGTACTCGCCGAGAACGCGAGTACATACTCGCGTACTTGAGAATTGAGAAAGGGCCATTGTTTTAGGCTTTGGCCCACATTAGTCTAAAATTGTATGTAACCACGAATAATGTGTTGCCATGTCCACCAGGAGAGACTGGACAGTATAGATGTACAACAAATATGCTAGCAGTTTATCTCAGTTAACGAGAGGAGAAGGAATGTGTTTAGCTCCTTCACATAGTGGACATTGAGTTGTTGTGTGGGGCACTAGTAGTCCATGTCTGTTGCTGTAACAGTAGTTCATGTTTAGAAAAAAAACCACCAGGTCATTCAGTGTTCCCTTAGTACTAATGTATCAGAGATGTTGGTGTAATATAACTGAAGTAATGTTGTTATGTCCTTAAAATCATATTCTTTTATTGTCATGACTGTATTTGAAGCTAATTTTATTTTTGTATGATACCTTTACCTGAAGTAAACTTAAGTCTAAAATACTTAGTCAGTCATTTGTTTAATAGTAATTTAACATTATATAATTCACATATAAAACTATGAATTGTAATTTTAAATGTTTTAAAAGCATGTAGAATAGCATATGTAGGCAAGTATATTTCTCCTTTTTTTTAATCAAGAAGCAAAGACAAAAAGGAAAACAAAAAAGAAACATGGAAGGCTTCAGTGGTTGAATCATCCGTCCCCACCAATGCCAAAACCAAATCTACGCCCTTGTTACGGAGTATGGTTTGAATATATGAATGAATGAATTGAATTAATGGTGCACACTTTCTATATAATATGCATGTTACATTTTAGATTTGGGGTGAAATATCAAGTCCAATTCAAGTCCCAGGTCATTGGTGTACATGCACAAAGCCCTCCAACATGACAAGATAGTGATTTATAGAGGGGTGTGTGTTTATGGTACCAAGAGCTTGATTTCAATTTAAACTCAAATACCAAGATTTTTCTTCATTGCGTTTAAAAAAAAAATTAAAATATTTTTAATTGTATTTTACTTTTATTGAGATTTGAAAGTTTAATGCTTAAATTTTTATGGAATATATATTTTTTAAATAATTATATTTTAATTTGTAAGGGAATCTGTGTGTCAAATTCACTTACAAAAAGAACTAGTCCACTTCCTTCTATGTCTCATGTGGTAAGTGGGCAGAGTATCTGTTTATAATATGTCCTTGCATGGAGGGTTGTGGGGCTAGGTAGAGCAAAGAACAAAGAGCAACATACATCAGCCTGGGTACATCAGTTGGAACTACTGTTAGTAAACTCAGTGTTCAGTTTTATTTAACCTTATTTTATTTATTGTTTTTCATTTTTTAAATGTTTTTCATAGATTTATTTGCAGTATCTTGCTTTGCTGTGTTTACATCTCGTTTCTCATTGTTCTTCTTTAAACCCATGTGTCTGGATGTTTTAATTCATATAGGAGCCATGGCCTCAGATATTATGGAGGTGGCTGCTCTGGGTCGACCTTTCACTTTAGGGATGCTCTACGATGCCCGGAGAGACAGACTTATCCCAGGTAAGATGTGACTTGTGATTTGTTGTGGTTCAAACTGCCACCAACCCAGATTTTGTTTTTTGTTAGTTTTTTTTGTGTGTTGATTTCAGGAGGGGGTACATTGCATTCACAGTTGTTGATTGAAAAACTGCGATTTAAGAAAGTCAACACAGTAAATTACTATAATGAATATGATAAATATGTTCAACAGATTTTTTTTCATTTTATTCATCAGCACAAAGCAAAAACAAACATAATCACATACATTTAAAGTCATTTTTAAATTACAGTTACTAAAATGCAGTGCGGTCGCATTACTATTTTTCAACAAACAGACGGTTGAAGCTGTGTTCAGCTTACCGCATCTTATATCAGTTGCACAGAAGTAGCTGACTAAGTAAGTAATCTGGACGCTACAGCTTTAAGCAGCTGCGCGCACTCCCATGGACGGCAGTCACTTTCTGGTACACAAATCACATTTTGGCACAACCCCCTTGAGCTAGGGGGAAAACAATTGCATGCGTGCTGCTGTTTGACTGAGGAAGAATATAGTAGTCGTGGTAACCACTTCAAGATGACAAAGCAACAAGGTGATATTTACCAGTTTTTAAATTGTGTTGATAGGCCACGTAAAACCAGAGTCATGATAAACAATTAATACACCTGTTTTTTCCTCAATATTTTCATCACGTTTGCTAAGGACAACGCTAGCAAGCACTCTCTGCTTATGACCAAAAAATTAAAAAAACAAAAAAACACCCGTTCGTGTTGGTGGAAAAATGCACCATGTCGATTGTTGGTTGTTTAGGGAAGAGGGGGAAGTTTTAGGAGTGACGGTGAGAGAGAGGGTGAGAGAAAGAGAGAGAGAGAGAAAGCAGAAAAAGAGAGAGAGCAAGTTTTGAGATGTTGAGAGATTTGTGACGTTTAGCGTGTTTAGAGTGTGTAGTTCATGTGTTGTCTTGTGTAATTAGTGTGTAGTGTTGTGGATAGTTTTGTGTTGTGTGTCAGAACAATGATGTTACTGCTGTCTCCAGGTAGAAAACAGGAGTGATACACCTGCTGCTGTCAGACCTGCAGATAGGACTGGGCGATATATCGCAGGGTTTTTAAATATAGTTTTTAAATATATCGATATATTTTTATGTGAGATGTGACAATATCGTTTATATCGATATAGACTATGTTACATTAAAATTATACTTGCGGAACTTCAAGTTTGCCTCTCTTTCGTCTACTTTTGTCTCTACGCTGCGTTACTCCGCCTCGCCTCTCCTTCACTGAAAACAACTCCCCCTCCCCCATCGCTTCACCTGCAGGCAACGGCAGCTGTCACAGAGGAGCTGGTCGGTAAAAAGAAAACATTTGGAGATTACCATAACTGCATTAACGGGGCAAATCTCTATTAACGAGTTACTGCGATCACCCTGTGCGTGGGGCTGGACGGCGTCAACGTGTTAACAAGCTAACCGGGCTAACGCGTTGACACCTAAAATCCTTTCATTTTCTCAAAAAATGACAGTGCGCCTTATGTATGAATTCTGGATACAAACCGATTTTATGTGGTACACGGCGCTCAAAAACCTTTCAAAAATGTTTTGGTACGACTTTGGTAAGCTACAAAGCTGCACCGCTTGATGGATTGTTGGAGTATTACGGCTTCAACGTAATATTACCGTACTGTGTGTGTATAAGGACCACAAATAGCACCTGTTCAGAGACACAGTTACAAAGAGGATTTCAAACTCCAGGCTGTCAGTCACGCAGTAGAAGTTGGGAAATCTGTCTGTCTTTGTTATTATGCTCAGCGTCTGTTAGTTTACATTTTGACTGCACAATTGTGAGCTTTTTGTTATGCACAAAAACAGCATTGTTTTATTTTATTTATGGAGCATTATTATTTAATAAATGCTGATAATTTATTTCTGAGTAATTATTTCTTGTACATCTACGCTGTATGTTAATAAAAGTGTGTGACATCTGGGACACAGCTTTGACTAAGAACTCTCTTTTTGTTCTTACTTTATGGCTTTAAAAAATATTGAGATATACGTCATATGTCGCCATCCAGCTAAAGAATATCGAGATATGAATCTTGGGTCATGTCGCCCAGTCCTACCTGCAGGTATCAGGCTGTGATGTTCTCCTTTATAGTGGACAGACTTTTTTTTTTTTTTTTTTTGTAAATAATTTGTGTGGCATCTTATTGAATGCAGAACACCTGATGGTTATATAAATAGTTTGAAATGGTTATAAAAAAGAGTAACAGGTAAATGGCT